AAATAAATAAATAAATAAATAAAAAGGGCATTCAGAAATAAATTATATTATCATTTAGATAAAGGCTGAGGAAAGTGGATGAAAATCCTAATGATTTCCTTTAACCTGCAGTAAATTTAAACTTACAAGTCAACATTTTAATAAATATGGGATGTCTACTAATTATTAAATTAGCTTCTCCCATAACTTCAAACACATTGTTATGAATGCTTGAATCTATATAACACTAATTTTAAACAGAACAAATCAGAAAGTGACAACATATAGGGACAGTTACATCAGCAAGATGCAGAAATTGAAAATCCCTCACTTGTACATTCCCCAGCCCATATAATTTGGCAGGCACTCATTGACAAGAGACTATTATGACACATGTGGGAGCCAAGGAGAAGAATGTGGATCCCCCTAAAGCTCAGCACCAGGAAAGGTCATCCTGAGAAGGCGGCCCTCATGCAGGGGTCAAAGTGAATACCTGTCTTCTTGGCTACAGACCAGGAAATGGCCCAAGCAGTGTGGTCCCAATGAGAATTTTCAAGCTAATCTGTGACCGTCTCCAGCTCCTCCCCTCCACAGTCTGGGAGTGGTCCTGCCCATCCAGAGAACTCGGGCGAGATGCCTATTTAAGGCCATAGAGGCAGCCTGCAGGCTTCAGTCTTCACTGTGGTCTCTCAGGACGTTTTGTGACTCAGTTACAGCCTCTTAGCCACAGTCCATGGCCAGCAAGGCCCACCTGGGAACCCACATGCTGATCTGAAAAAGCCCTTCCAGGTACTTAGTGGGAGCCACACTCACCCAAACCTCTGGTATCAGGTGCAACATATGTGGACCCCAGTGAAGAACCTGCTCTAGGGCCTGCCCTACAGATCAAGTCAAGAAGGCAATCCATTAACAAACTTCCCAGAGACCAGACAAGGTGCACAACCACTCAAGCTTCTGCTAACAGGCCCACCAAAGGTGGACCCCACCGCAGACCCTCAGCAGCTTATGAGCAAGCTGCAACTCCTCCCCACCAAAACCCACAAGAGACCCCATCAGCCTGGGAACCAACGACAGAAGAGCTTTACAGGCTAAGACAAGTTTATTAAAATTGGTGTTTGTTCCTTCAAATTCAGACACCAATGCAAGATTATATTGTGCCTACTTTCAATGCTTTTATTTTAACATAATGCTGGAAGTCATATGCAGAACAGTTTCTCAAGAAAATAAAAAATTAGGACAGGCACGGTGGCTCACACCTGTAATCCTAACACTCTGGGAGGCCGAGGCAGCCAGATTGCTCAAGCTCAGGAGTTCGAAACCAGCCTGAGCAAGAGCGAGACCCCGTCTCTACTATAAAAAGAAAAAAATTAATTGGCCAACTGATGTATATAGAAAAAATTAGCCGGATATAGTGTGCATGCCTGTAGTCCCAGCTACTTGGGAGGCCGAGGCAGGAGGATCACTTGAGTCCAGGAGTTTGAGGTTGCTGTGAGCTAGGCTGATGCCACGGCACTCACTCTAGCCTGGGCAACAAAGCGAGACTCTGTCTAAACAACAACAACAAAAAAATAGAAGAACATAAATGTTATACCAAAAAAACTGTTAAAATTAGTAAACAAATTCAGTAAGTTAGTAGAATATGAAATTAACCTAGAAACATGAGTTGTATTTTCTTTTCTTTTTTTGACACAGAGTCTCGCTTTGTTGCCCAGGCTAGAGTGAGTTCCTAGCTCACAGCAACCTCAAACTCCTGGGCTCAAGCAATCCTGCTGCCTCAGCCTCTCGAGTAGCTGGGACTACAGGCATGCGCCACCACGCCTGGCTAATTTTTTCTATATATATCAGTTGGCCAATTAATTTCTTTCTATTTATAGTAGAGACAGGGTCTCGCTATTGCTCAGGCTGGTTTTGAACTCCTGAGCTTGAGCAATCCGCCCTCCTTGGCCTCCCAGAGTGCTAGGATTACAGGCGTGAGCCACCGCATCCAGCCCAAGTTGTATTTTCATACCCTAATATAGCAACAGTCTCATAAAAAAAGGGAAGAAAACATTCTTGTCTACAATATCATTAAAATAATAAATTTCACAGAAACACATTTAACCAAAAATTTATAAGGTCTTCACACTGGAAAAAAAAAGATATTGATAAAATGAAATGGAAAAAATACACAAATATATGTAAAAATACCCCATTTGTGCACTGAAAGAATTAATGCTGTTAAAATACAATATTATCCAAACCAACCTATAGATTTGATGTAATTCCTATCAAAATTTTAATGGTGTTTTTTATAAGAATACAAAAAAATCCAAAATGTTTATGTATCTACAAGAGATTTCAAATAGCCAAAGCAATGTTGAGGAAGAAAAAAATCTAGGGATATAATGCTTTCTGATTTCAAGTATATTTCAAGACCAAAACAACATAAATAGCATGACGACAAGTGCATTGAAATTGACACAAAAACCAAGGAAAGCGAACAGGGAGCAAAGAAAGAAACCCAGGCATATAAGGTGAACTCATCTTTGAGTTTGACAGGGGCACTAAGAAAGAATACAGGTTACAGAAACCAGAGTCTCTCTTCAGTGCTCGATGCTATAAAACTGGATACCTACATAAGAAAAAATAAGATTAGACCATTTTTTCCACACCGTATCTACAAATTAACTCAAAATACAGACATAAAAAAAATACACAAATCCTCAAAAATTATAAAAGATGGTGGGCACAGTGGCTCACACCTATAATGCTAGAACTCTGGGAGGCTGAGGAGGGCAGATTGTTTGAGCTCAGGAGTTCGAGAATAACCTTAGCAAGAGCGAGACCCCCATATCTAGTAAAAATAGAAAAAAATTAGCTGGACAACTAAAAATATACAGAAAAAACTAGCTAGGCATAGTGGTCATACCTGTAGTCCCAACTACTCGGGAGGCTAAGGCAAGAGAATTGCTTGAGCCCAGGACTTTGAGGTGGCTGTGAGCTAGGCTGATGCCATGGCACACTAGCCAGGAAACAGAGTGAGACTTTGTCTCAAAAAAAAAAAAAAAAAGAAAGAAAAGAAAGAAAAAAATTATAAAATAAAACATACAGAATATCTCCATGATATTAGTCTTCCCAATGCTTATTTTGATATTACACAAAAAATACAGCAACTAAAGCTAATATAAACAAGATGGACTGCCTCAAACTACAAAGCTTATACACAGCAATGAACATAATAAAACAAAATAACTTACAGGATTGAAGAAAACATATGCAAATCATATATCTGATAAGATGCTAATATTCAAATATAGAAAAATCTCATAAACTGAGGGCAAAAACAATAATAATAATAACCCAATCGAAACCCAGAGAAAAAAATAAATCCATGTTCTTCCAAAAAGTACATAAAATGGTCAACAGGTACAGAAAAAAGTGCTTAATATCACCAATGATCAGGCAAAGTCAAAGGAAGACAATGATAAGAAATCCCCTCACACCACTTAGGACAGCTGGTATCAGTACGGAGAGAAAGCAAGTGTTGAGAGAGTGTGAATAAGAAGAAATACAGTGCACTGTTGTCGAGTTGTACATCAGTGGGATCATTATGGAAACCAGTATGGAGGTTCTTTGAAAATTAAAAAGCTAGCACTGCCATACCATCCTGCTGCTCCACTTCTCCATATATAACGAAAGAAAATATAAGCAGAATCTCCAAGAAATATATGCATCCTCACAGTACTGCAGTGTTATTCACAACTGCAAGAGATGAAAACAACCAAAAGCTACCTATCTATGGACACTTAATAAAGAAAACATGGTGTATATAGACACAATATTATTCACCCTTAAAAAACAATGAAATCCTGGCATTTCAACAATGCGATGGACATGGAGGACATCATGCTAAGCGAAATAAGCCAGACACAGGAATGCAAATACTTCATGTTCTCATTTATACGGGGCTCGACAAAGGTTGAACTCTTAGGAGCAGAGTAGAAAGGTGGTTGCCAGAGCCTGGAGGTGAAGATAATGGGAGATGCTATCAAAGGGGTACAAACCTTCAGTTATAATAGACGAATTAAGTTTAAAGGATCAAACATGTAGCGCCACAACTAGTTAATAACGGTATTTTACTAAAATTTACTAAGACACTAGACCATAAGTGTTCTCACTACAGAAAAAAAGATAAGTATGTGAGGTGATAGACGTGTTCATTAACTTGATTGTATTATTCACTGCACAATTAACACACAACACTATATCACACACAAATACATAGCTATACAAATCTACATGTCACACACACATACACTCATATATATAAGAATGGTAATTGGGATTCACATTCTATGATGCCTAATGACATAGCAAATTTAAGAAATCTAGGAAGTGAGTGGACACACTTAAATGTATCACAGTTGAGGAATATGGAAATATACTTTAAATTATTAATCTCAGTTTATGCTATAATATAAAACTTTGAATTAAAATATCAGTTTTTATATTTAGGGAGATACTCAGTATTTTAACAAAATTACCGAGTATGAATTCCCACAACAATGGAAACCTCCATATGATAGTAAAATATGAAACAGAAAATGTGCCTCTGTCCCTGGTGTTCCTGGGATTTCTGAATCAAATACCAATAACACCACTGCTCACACACATTTCAGACATCATGCAGTAAGGGAAGATAAAAAATGGTTTAAAATGGAGTTCCTCAAAATTATGCGGGTGTTCCCACATCACCAAAAGCAATGGAAGAGGACTCAGATCACGCAGTTTCTCAAGGCCATGACGAGGACTTCGACTCTAACTGTAACCTTCAAGCAAATCACTGAAGGGGAGTACGGTCCTTAGAGAATGTAAGAGCATGGGGCAGAAGATGCCCCTCTGTGAGAGCAAGAGAAAGAAACCCAGGCATCTCAGAAACCAGTTCCATTCGAGCAGATTCCCAAACCACAGTTTAAGGTCTGGCGTTCCCCTGACCTTTGAACCTCTCACCTGTGTCACCTGCTGCATTCACTCCCACCTACCTGGGTGTGTGACTCCTGCCTCCTGTTTCCTCACATTCCGCAGCTCTTGCCTTTGCTCCAGACAGGAAACCAGGTCCCGCTCAGAAGCAGCAAGACCTATGTCATTAGAAAGAAGCAACATGACTCTTGCTAGGATTCTCCACTTACCAACCTAGTACTGTGCTCCATAGAGAAGAAAGAGTATTATAGAGGTTCTAGAATATTAAACCCAAAATACTGCTTCTTCACAGAACCAGTAGGATATTCAGAAAATATTTTAAAATTTGTGAGTTCTTAGTTCTACTATCTAGTATTTAAATGAAAAACTGGAAGTAAAAATTGAATTTTGGGGTCTGGACAATAATGTTTTACGCTATCAAATTTTTAGAATTGTCACCCATCTAGAGGGAAGTATACAGGCCACCTCAAGAAAGGGGAAGGTTCATATCAAGATGAAACAACTTGAAGATTCTCTTTTCTACACCAACAAGCTCCAAAGTGTTCCTTGAAAGCAGAGATCTGAAACTCATTCATGCAAAGTTGAAATTCCCATAAAACATTTCACAAACAACAAAAATAAAACCCTTAGGGTGCATTAAGATCCCTAAAAGGAAGTTATCCTCACCCACAGAGACCAGGTTTGTGTAGTTCTCTAACATCACATCCCGATGCAAACTCTGCTGAGCAGGATCCAGGCATGCCCACTCCTCCGCAGAGAAGTCTACGGCCACGTCCCTGAATGTCAACAATCCCTAGAGGGAAAAACATATTTACGAAACAGCCATGAACAGTGTTCTTGATTTGACTAAAGGTGAAATGAGAGAAGGAAGAGAACTGGCTCTGACTCACGGGAGTGACTGGAATTATCCAGTAATTAACACGGCAACATTCTACAATGTATTCTCTACTCTGAGTACAGAGGGCAGCAAAGACATCCACAAAACATATGGATACTATACTTCTGGATGATAAACTACTAATACAAATTAAGGGTATCCACAGCAGCACATATATTTTTGAGTTATATGTATATATAGGGATTGTTGACACACACACACACATATATATATATATATCACGCATCATATACAATAAGCTGTATATGTTTCTCATGTGGAAAAGTCAAGGTGAGTTAGAAAGGCATTGCTAAAATTTCAATGTGCACTGCAGTGAACAGCAGATCATATTAAAGTGCAGATTCTGGGCTGGGCACGGTGGCTCACGCCTGTAATCCTAGCACTCTGGGATGCCAAGGTGGGAGGAGCTCAGGAGTTCGAGACCAGCCTGAGCAAGAACGAGACCCTGTCTCTACTAAAAGCAGAAAGAAATTAATTGGCCAACTAAAAATATATAGAAAAAACTAGCGGAGCATGGTGGCGCGTGCCTGTGGTACCAGCTACTCGGGAGGCTGAGGCAGAAGGATGGCTTGAGGCCAGGAGTTTAAGGTTTCCGTGAACAGGGCTGACGCCACGGCACTCTAGCCTGGGCAATAAAGTAAGACTCTGTCTCAAAAAAAAAAGTGCAGCTTCTGATTCAGGAGATTTGGGGTGGGGCCTGAGTTTCTGCATTTTTCACACACTCAACAGTAATTCCAACTCTTCCAGCTCATAAAAACATTTTGTCAAGCATACAATAAGTGGCGAAACCTGGGTTTTATCCTGATTCATCTGACTAGTAAACAAAGATGAGAGCCTTCATTCTGCAAAGCACGCTATAGCCAAAAAAAAAAAAAAAAACTAAAGAAAAAAGGAGAACTTCCAGATGAAATGTAATGATTTCTGTGCCTCGGGTGAGAAAAACTCCCCGTGGTACTTATTAATAATTTAGACAATCGTCGTTATCGTAGAGGACTCGCCAGAGACCACTTTAACCAAGCAAGTCAACTCAGCATCCACTGTAAGAGCATAAATCTGCGTGAGGTGCTGATGTGCACGGGACCCCACGCCACTGCCGTGCGATACTCGCCACCGATAAACAGCTATAATGTGAATCTAATCACAAATAACGTCACTTCACGCCACGTTCAAACCACATATATAGCTCCATGGTCTGTAAGTTCTAATGGTTTATTTTATTTAAATAGTTCTTTTTTGGCATCCTACAGAGCACAGCTCTTCCAATTAAACTGTTTTTCAGAAATTTCTAAGTTATCTGGGGCAATTAGTACCATCCTCTTTGAATGTGCATAATCTATAACCTATAATAGCTTATTTTATTTAGTCTTTTTCTAGCACCCTAAAGAGCACATCTTCTAATTAAACTGTTTTTCAGAAATTTCTGGGTTATCTGGGGCAATTAATGCCATCATCTTAAATGTGCTTTTTAAAATCCTGTTTGGCATAAAGATGACGGGGCATCCCCACAGAACCCCACAGAACACATTCTCCCACTTTATTGACACCTCAGGACCCAGCCCTGTGCCCAAGAGGAGTCTCGGGTGTCCACATCTTCCCATGCTTATCTGTCAAAAAGGGAGCGTTCTCAATACTGCAGGCCATACATTCACGGTGAGAACTGTGCACAGTATGTACAGATTTGGATGGAGAGAAGGGAGATAAGGTTCTGGTATGTGGAGGAGAAAAATTTTAAGGAGCCCTTGAGTATCAGAAGAAGGGAAATAAGCAGTTGAGACACTCTTGTTAGGCAGAACCATCAGAAGCAGAGAAGCAAAGGTTTGCAAGTCCTCAATACGTGACAATCTAGGAGTAAAAGTGGACACAGCTCCTGACCTGGGAGACTCTTACCTGAGAACCAGCCATTTCTTCCTCTTCCTTCTGCCTCTCTAAGGTTCCTTCTCAGCTGAGGGTATCGGCACAAATCGCAGCTGCATCTTGAGAATGTGCATTTCAAGGCATCAGCACAACCGCTTCATCTGCTACCACCACACCCACAGGCAGAAGGACCTGGAAATGCAGAATAGAAGACATTGACCTGCCCTTTGTCACAAGAGAGATTCAGGAACACTGAGCTCCTACATAAAGACCAAAGCGTGAGTTTCTCCTTTACTGCCCTCGGGTGGCCTCCCCTGCCACAAACACAGCAATTTCTGCTACTGCAATGGGAATGTGGGCCATACTGGTTCCCCCAAATCAAACCCAACCAGAGCTGGTCCCCTGACCTCAACTTTGGGGAAAACGCTGAACTCAACTCTCAAGAACAGATCTGGGAGCCCACATGCTTGACCCTGGCCTCACCTCAGAATCACATGAGGCAGGTAATTCAAACCACATGGATGCTCCTACCAAGACCAATAGAATCTGCAGGGCACACACAGGTGACGATTTCTTCAACCTGGCCATGGGTCTATCACTGAAACCTGGGCTAAGAGGTAGAATATGTGGCTAAGCATCACCCCAAGCTTCTGTGTGCATGTGTATCCACTGGCCTTCCAGGTCCCACTCTAAGAAACGTGATTCTACAAGTGTGCAAGGAAGGGCCCATGGATTATGGTTATGAGCAAGTCTCCTTCCCTAGATCTGTCATCAGTCTCACACAACAGGCACAGCACAGAGTCCTCACACCCAACATTTCTATGACAACATAAATACTTTGGGTCCAAGGGAGGGCCACCAAGCACCACTTTGAAATATTTTCCGCGGGCCCCTTAAAGTTTACAGAGGCTGCAGAAGGCAACTTTATCTGAGGAAGCCATTTGGAAACCCAAATGGACACGTGCATTAAAGCAATGCTGGCCGCGCATGGTGGCTCATGCCTGTAATCCTAGCACTCTGGGAGGTCGAGGCAAGCCGATTGCTCAAGGTCAGGAGTTGGAAACCAGCAGGAGCCAGACCCCATCTCTACTAAAAATAGAAAGAAATTAATTGACCACTAAAAATATATACATACAAAAAATTAGCCGGGCATGGTGGCACATACCTGTAGTCCCAGCTACTCGGGAGGCTGAGGCAGGAGGATCGCTTGAGCCCAAGAGTTTGAGGTTGCTGTAAGCTAGGCTGATGTCACGGCACTCACTCTAGCTTGGGCAACAAAGTGAGACTCTATCTCTTATTTAAAAAAAAAAAAAAAAAAAAAAAAAAAAGCAATGCCGACCTACCACGCACTCGGTGCTCACAAGTCTGCTGCAGGGCCTGGTGCTGGGAACCTCACGTTGGCTGTGTGAGTTAATCCTCCCACACCCGGGAGTCAGGCACTAAGTGTCCCGTAATTCCTAGCAGAATCTACGTGTTCGGCCCAGCTTTATTTTTCTTCTTTGCCACTGATTAAATAAAAACTGTACAGAATAAAAATACACAGGGATGGGAGAGAGATGGAAAGGAGGGGAGAGGAATAATACAAAATGACTTTTTATTAGGGTGTTTTTTTCTTTTTTTTGAGACAGAGTCTCACTTTGTTGCCCAGGCTAGAGCGAGTGCCGTGGCGTCAGCCTAGCTCACAGCAACCTCAATCTCCTGAGCTCAAGCGATCCTACTGCCTCACCCTCCCAAGTAGCTGGGACTACAGGCATGTGCCACCATGCCCAGCTAAATTTTTGTATATATATTTTTAGTTGTTTGATTAATTTCTTTCTGTTTTTGGTAGAGATGGGGTCTCGCTCAGGCTGGTTTCAAACTCCTGACCTTGAGCGATGCGCCCGCCTCGGCCTATTAGTGTGTTTATATTCACTTGTAGAGCCTCTAATGATCTAAAGGAATGGAAAACAAATTGATGGTGAAATGTCTTTAGTAACACAGGTGTTAATGAAACAGATGGAAATTAAAGCACCAAAATATGCAGTCCATTGCACCCCTTTATCCACATTTGGGTTTACGGAAATTACAAGCCCCAGCTCTGGAGAAGTGACAGGAGCAGCCACCCCAAACTCTGATCAGTTCTGTGAGGGGAAGACTCCAGGGTGGGGCCAGACATGTGTGCAGGGCTGAGGAGGGGGCACGCCCTGCACTCTGATCTCTATGCTGCTGGTTTATTTTTCTGTCACTTCTAAGATTTCCCAAAGGAAATTGTATTTCCAGAGTTTGTATGCTTTTAATTATTTTAAGGTATTTTCTTCTCTATTTCATAACACAACATGCAATTAACATAAACCATCAGTTTTTTTTTTTTTGAGACAGAGTCTCACTTTGTTGCCTAGGCTAGAGTGAGTGCTGTGGCGTCAGCCTAGCTCACAGCAACCTCAAACTCCTGGGCTCAAGCGATCCTTCTGCCTCAGCCTCCCAGGTAGCTGGGACTACAGGCATGCACCACCATGCCTGGCTAATTTTATCTATATGTATTAGTTGGCCAATTAATTTCTTTCTATTTATAGTAGAGACTCTATAGGGTCTCGCTCTTGCTCGGGCTGGTTTCGAACTCCTGAGCTCAAACGATCCGCCCGCCTCAGCCTCCCAGAATGCTAGGATTACAGGTGTGAGCCACTGCGCCCAGCCGGCATCAGAGTTTTATATGACAAATCACATTAGATGCCTACGTATTTATTCTGCACAAGGTAAAGCAATAGAAATGACAACACCAATTCTTTCCATGGATGGTGACATCAGAACTCACAACAACCACATAGGGAAGTGTCCAAAAGAAGCCAAAGTCCCCTGTAAATCTCCCCTTCTTTGTACTGACCACATGATGCCCAATTCAACCATTTATCCATGTGCTCTAGACTGAAAGTTCCTACACAGTATCAACCATGACTGCTTCATCACTGTTTTCCTCATGGCCATTTAAAATTACCTAAGCCACTTAGTTTAGGTATCCGTTTGAATCTCTAAACCCCTTCCTTGTTCTTTACTCAAGTGCCAGGAAACTGGAGTCACTCCCATCTGAGGACCAACCTAGGTGATCCCTTCTGTGAAACGAGAAAAAAACCCTGTATGACATACTGCTATTTCTCTTGGATGGAAGAATTAGACCATGTTGTTTTGTTGACGTCAGTCTGCACAAGACATCCTCAATGTCTCAGAGACTTCCAGGTGTTGGTGACAGGGTCCCCAGTGAGCTTGGGCTGATGTCTCCATGGTGATGCAGGCAGGAGAGACTCAGGCTGAGGCTGTGGGGTGAGGACAGAGAACAAGCCTGCCCTGGTACAGGAGCTGCCTCTGGATAAAGGTGTGGTATCATGTGTCCCTGATCAGCTAACCCTGGGGAAAAGGAAGAACACACTGCCCCAGCAACACAGTGTACAGGCAGGGGCAGTTCTGGTCATGGCTCTAGAAAGGTCCTGACCTTTCCATGCTAATCAGTCTTCTCCCTTCCTACGTTGGTTCAAGGTAGGATCTGGTTTCCCTGCAAGTGTTGGACTTAACACTGATGATGGTTTTCACTTACAGATTTTATACTGATCACTGGAAGCCACATACACAGTTAAAGCAGGTGACTGGACAAGATCTGGAAAATTACAGGGGCTCCACCTAGAGAAGTCTTTCGGGTTAGTTTCTCATGCTGCAGAAACTCTCTCCCCTGTGGACATTTTTGTACATCCTCAGCCTGAAGTCTGGCCCTGTCCTGTGAATCCCAGGTGGAGGCCGGGTCTTGTGTGTATATAGTAATGCCACTTGCTCTGAACTCGTGGGTTTTACAGTGGAGGAAGGAAGACTGGAGGGGAGGTACCCTCACCCAGCCAGCTCTAGAGCATCCTGAGCAATGCCTGGCCTTAGATTCAGAATATGAAGCTGCAGATTTAGGGACCTAGAGAGGTGGGGAAGCAGCACCTGGGGTACATTGTCTGGCATTTGGGCAGGATGACAAAGCAGACTTGGAGGCTGTCAGGCTGACTTGGTGTGTGGTACCCATCTCGGTGGGTGGCAGAGCTCCAGGGTGTCTGGGTCAGTTTCCAGTCTGAAGAAGCCAGGAGCACTGGCTGGGTGCGGTGGCTTACACCTGTAATCCTAGCACTCTTGGAGGCCGAGGCAGGCGGATTGCTCAAGGTCAGGAGTTCGAAACCAGCCTGAGTAAGAACAAGACCGGGTCTCTACTATAAACAGAAAGAAATTAAATGGCCAACTAATATATATATAGAAAAAGTTAGCCGGGCATGGTGGCACATGCCTGTAGTCCCAGCTACTCGGGAGGCTGAGGCAGGAGGATTGCCTGAGCCCAGGAGGTTGAGATTGCTGTGAGCGAGGCTGACGCAATGGCACTCTAGCTCAAGCTGACAAACTCAGGGAGGGGTGGGGATGACTGCAATACACACATGTGTGACTCCAGTGCCAAGTCAGACCATCCTATCACTTGTGACATCCTCTCACCCCCATCCTGTTCATTGGAAAAGTCAGTGACCACATCCCAGGAAACACTGCTCTGTGCCTCTGAGTGCCTGAAGTGCAAATTGCTTGGTAGGTTCTTCCACTGCCTCACTCGGGTGAGTTTTCCTTGCCCTTTGAGAAAGAGTCCAGAAGGCAGGAGTCTCTCTGCCCTTTGCTCTCAATACCAGCATCATATTGTCTGAGCACCAATGTTTCTCCAAGGAAAGGAAGCTCAGATTCAGGTAAAGTAAAGAAAGAAAAGTAAAGAAAAGAAGTAAAGTAAAGTAAAGAAAACCTTACAATGCCAATGGATTAGCATTATAGATGAAGATACAACAGGAGACTCCTGTCAGCAACAGGGCACCCAGCTGTTCCTCTGCAGGAGTGGGGAACCTGCGGTCTTAAGACAACATGTGGCCCTCTAGGCCCTTAAGTACGACCTTTTGACTGAATCCAAATTTTACAGAACAAATCCTTTTATTAAAAAGGGGTGCAGCAGAGAAAGGTGAAGCTTTTCTTGCCTGCTTTGGTGCTTAAAAATAAACAAACCTGGCCGGGCGCAGTGGCTCACGCCTGTAATCCTAGCACTCTGGGAGACCAAGACGGGCGGATTGCTCGAGGTCAGGAGTTCAAAACCAGCCTGAGCAAGAGCAAGAGCGAGACCCCGTCTCTACTATAAATAGGAAGAAATTAATTGGCCAAGTAATACATACAGAAAAAATTAGCCGGGTATGGTGGCGCATGCCTGTAGTCCCAGCTACTTGGGAGGCTGAGGCAGCAGGATTGCTTGAGCCCAGGAGTTTGAGGTTGCTGTGAGCTAGGCTGACGCCACGGCACTCACTCTAGCCAAGGCAACAGAGTGAGACTCTGTCTCAAAAAAAAAAAAAAAAAAAAAAAAAAAAAATTAACAAACCTGAAACCAAAAGGCCCCAGTTCCTACCCCTGCAAGGCTCTAGCCCCACTCCTCAGGCCATGCTCTGGGAAGAGATGACACAGGACTGACATTCACTACACATTCCAGGAGACAGGATCGCTGTAGGCATCTTGGGTCATCCCCAGACAGTTGTGCAACCAGGACCAGGAAAATACAGAAAGATGGCTGAGAGAACACATCACCCTGTAAAGTTTTCAAACTAAAGACAATCTGGTAAGGTGTGTGAGCCCAGGGAAGATAAAAGGAGGAGATGCATAAAGAATTCTACAGGGAGTGTCAGGTGATTATTCTCTGCTTTCCTGTTACATGAAATGTTTAGAAATAGAAAACAAATATTTAAAAAGAGCCATCCTCAGTCCTAAGCAAAAACATGTTCAACAAGTACACTGGTGTGTCTGCTTGAAAAATAAACAAGGAACAAATAGTTGATAATGTTATGAGGTGGGGAGTGGTAGTAGGCATTCGGGAACATAGGCAAAGAAATTTCAGAAATTTCTAGAAATTTCAGATTTCCAACAGGAGCTGTTAGAACAGTTGGGCTAGACAAACTGGACTTCAGACCCTGCTGGCCATACATTTGGAAAATGCAGGTAAAACCGGTCCCCTGAGGGTGCTATTAGACTGAACTGGCCAAAGTGACCTGGCCAGTTCCTCTGTATGGAAATTTAATTTTAACTCAAATGCATTTCCTGTAAATTACAACTTACAGGAACAGCTAAAAAGTGCCAATAAAGCTCTGATTACCTAACCAGAAAGTAGCCACATGGATAGCCCAAAGAAGCCACTGCATAATTCTACCCAACTAATTATTCCATTTCCTTTGATTCCTCCTGCACCTTATAAAGCCTTTCTTTCAAGCCAAGCCCCGCCATAGGCCCGAAGACCTCAAACCGTGGTTGTGGACTTCCAGATTCACAAATCACTATCTGCTCAAATAAACCATTAATATTTTAAGCATTCACGTTTCCTCAGTTTAATTTTCAGGAGCACAAAGGAAGGCTGAGAACGTCGCGGACTGCGCCTCCTCTCCCGCAGGGACTCCGCGCGGAGCCGCCGCCCTCCCCGGGGGGCCCTCCCGCCGTCCCCGCACCACCCGGGGGACGCGGCCGCCGCCCAGAGCCGCCCGGAGAGGCCCGGGCTGAGGCCGCAGGAAACGCAGGGCCAGGACCGGCCGGGACGCCCAGGGCGCCGCTGCCCGCTCGGCCCGCCCTGAGAGCGGAGGGGACCGACGGCACCGGCGCGTCAGGGCGAGCCTGGGTCTCCAGACTCCGGAGGCGAAGCCGGGCGGCCGCGTCCCCACAGCCGCTTCCGGCCGCCCTACCGGCCGCCGTCCCCTCGGAGCACCGGCCGCACGCTCGCCCGGCCCCAGCTTCCGGGGCGTCCCGGCGCCGTCCCTGTGGACCCCCGTACCTGCAGGTCTCGGGTGACACAGGCTGCGGCAGACACACCTGGGCCCCGAGAGGAGCAACGGCGGAGAGGGGACGCCGGCTCCGTGCCCGGCGGAAGAGACAAAGGCCGCGCCATGTCCCGGAAGCCGCCTCCTTGTTTCTGTCTGCGCATCTGATTGGACAGCTCTCAATACAGCGCCCCTGATTGGATAATGCTCTAGGCCCCACCCCTCTGGCCAAGAGTGACAGCAGTGACGCCATCAGACTGCAGCTGAATGAGGCCAGAGTAACAGGTGTTTGTACCTCTTGGTAGACTGGGTTTGCCCGCGTGCTCTGTGACCTGGCTCTGCCCGGAGGACTTTTTTGTTGCACCTTGAATTTAAATTGTAACTTTTCATAAATTATATATACATGTACAGTAAATACATTTTTTATTCACAAATGCAAATAACAATAACAATTCATTTTAAAGTTTGAGACTTTGTAAACTTCCTGGCCTCTGGTCTTTTCAGGACGTGCTTGCCTAACTGAAAATGGAGGCAGGATGTCCTCCAAGACAGCGACGTGCAATAGAAATAAAATGTGAGGAACGTGTGTCATTTAAAATTTTCTAGTAGCCACATAAAAGAAAAGAAAAAGAAACAAGCAAAATAGATTGTAATAGTTACTTTAACCCAACATATCTGAAATATTATTTTTATATTTGATCAATAAAAAATATTAATGAAGTATTATTGATACTGTGTCTTTGAAACTCATCCCATGTTTGATGCATGTAGAAAAAACATCTCAGTTCAGATCAGACACATTCCAGGTGCTCAGTAGCCCCATGTGGGCAGTGGCTGCCACACTGAAATTCATCTTTTTTCTTTTTTTTTCTGCTGTTCCATGGGTTCGATGCCACACAGAAATTCAGCTCTGAGGGCTCTGCTTCCCCAGACCTCAGAGAGTTACAGGCCTGAACATGCTTTTCTGTGAGAAGCAAGGAACCACCCCTTCATTACCACCATCACTCCTCATGGGGTGGTTCCTTGCCCTTGGGAGAGACGGTGCCCCAAGAGAGAGCTGGGGGCTGCAAGCAGGAAGTGTCCACAGGTGTCCAGTGCTGCCCATCAGCTTCTTCTTCTTCTTCTTTTTTTTTTTGAGACAGAGTCTCACTCTTGCCCAGGCTAGAGTGCCGTGGCATCAGCCTAGCTCACAGCAACCTCAAACTCCTGGGCTCAAGCAATCCTCCTGCCTCAGCCTCCCAGGTAGCTGGGACTACAGGCATGTGCCAACATGCCCTGCTAATTTTTTCTATATATTTTTAGTTGGCCAATTAATTTCTATTTTTTTTTTTTTAGTAGGGATGGGGTCTCGCTCTTGCTCATTCTGGTCTCCAACTCCTGAGCTCAAAGAAACCACCCACCTCTGCCTCTCAGAGTGCTAGGATTACAGGCGTGAGCCACGGTGCCCGGCCCCACCAGCTTCTTCATGGCAGCCATCCCCTTCCCAGAAATGATACAGTGAACAAAGAATGAAGGGGCCTCCAGAGGAGGGAACTCCAAGATTGTGGTCACATAACTCTGCAAATACACTACAAATCATGAAATATACACTTAAAACATCTGATTTCTGTGACTTGGCATATTGAGTTTGACATCTAGGCTTCTGAGAGGCACCTGAGATCTAATAACTGCATCTAGGGACTTCAGGAATAAGCAGCCCTTAAAAACTGACCCAAGGACCAGGACTTTAGCCTGTGGAAACGGCACAGGTGGGCACAGCGCCAGCTCCTCCTTCTCCTGTGGCCCGTACAGAGCAGCAGAAAGCTCAGAGCTGGGCTGGGGAGTGAGGGCCATGGCGCCGATAAGCAGTGGCTGGTAACGGCCTGGCTGGTCTCTCCTCTGTGCTTGAGCAGGCCTTCGGCACCTGAGCATGGGGGCTGCTACATCACACAGGGGACAACCTGATGGCCTGGTGGCACTAGAGCACACCCTCTTATAGAACACACACCGCTCTAATTAAAACTGTAAGAAAAATGCAATAGTGTCATGAAGATAAGAGTGTAACACCCACAGAGACCGTCTTGCACAAACATTGTTGGTAGCACCACTTTCCATACTTGGTAGGACGTTTACAGTGCTCTCTTTTTCATTCTAATGCTGCACTGTCCTCTAATCATTCACCAATATTTGTTGATAATCCTCAAAATCCTAGGATAAAATATGCATGAAGAAGAAAGATGGCCTTTTATTATTATGGAATCGGGCTGTTGTGCAGTATGTTAGGCAATTTTATCAAACGGTTTATGTGCTTGACGGAAATATTATAATACAAATGCAAACATCTTCCACAATAGCAGAGATAATTATAAAACTCATCATGAATAGTAACAATCAAAAAACGTCAGAGGTTTTCACTATTTTGCCTTCATTTTTCAGTGACCAACTCCAGATATCCCAGTGGCCTTTTAAAAGCAAGTATCACGCACCGCAATATTTACAGAACTACTCTCCCAGCGTGCGCCGGACTCGAGGGTGGTGCGCACCCCTGCAGGCAGGGGCGAGAGCCTGCGCGCCTCCCTGCACACTCTGCGAGCTGCACACTCTTACTCTCTCAGGCCTGCAGGACTAAAATCCCGCATTCGCCGGCCACAGGGGCTGTGCGCCGACCTGGAGGGTGGGGCTCGGGGCTGCGGGACTCGCCTGGCATCCTGGGAGCTGCAGTCTCCGGCGCCTCCGAGTCCGGTGTTGGCCGAGCTGCAGGGCTGCGATCCCAGCATGCGCCGGGCGGAGGGCAGGGCGCAACACTGGAGGGTGCGGCAAGGCAGTGAGCGCGTCGCTCAGCATGCCGGGAGATGTAGTTTCTGCCCGACTACCCGCCCTCTGTTTCTCGCGCTGTGGAACTGCTCTCCCGGCGTGCTCCGCGCTCGAGGGGGATGCGCAGCCCTGGAGGGCGGGGCACGGGCCGCGCGCCTCCCCACACGTTCTGGGAGCTGCACGCTCTTGTCCTCTGAAGCCGGCAGGACTAAAACCCCGATTCGCCGGCCACAGGGGGTGTGCGCCGACGGGAACGCAGGGGCAGCGAGGTTCGCCACTGCACTGGCATCCTGGGAGCTGTAGTCTCTGGCCCCTCCCAGCCCGGTGTTCTCGGACCCGCAGGACTGCGATCCCAGCATGCACCGGGCGGAGGAGCAGAGCGGTGCTCTAGCCGCCTGGCATCCTGGGAGCTGTAGTCTCTGGCCCCTCCCAGCCCGGTGTTCTCGGACCTGCAGGACTGCGATCCCAGCAGGCGCCGGGCGGGCGGCGCGCGGGTCTGGGGGCGGGGCAGGCGGGCGCGTCCAGCCTGGTTCTGGGCGGCCGGGCTGCGCGCTCCTTGCCGCCCTCTGCCGACGCAAGGGCGTCCGGAGCGCGCCGCGCGGGGCAGGCCCAGGTGGACCGCGGAGGGAGCGGCTGCGAAGCGCACCTGGTGTCTGCCGCACCTGGCGGGTCTGCGCCGCGCCCCACCGCCCGCCGCGCAGCGGTCTCCCGTCCGCCCGCGCCCGGGCTCTCCCAGCGTCCGCGTCCCGGGCCCGCGGAGCCGCCCGCTCTCCTCTGTCGCCGCGGGCCCGGCTGATGTCGCGCCGTCCTTTCCGCCGCGAGAGCCTGCTCGCTGCGGCCGGAGCCCAGGTGGGCCGCGCCTGGCCTCCTGCGCGCAGCTTCACAGCTCTGCGGGGCAGGGGCTGCGGCCCGCACGGAAGCGCCACCCTCACTGCAGCCTCTTCTGCAGATGCGGGTGGAGGGAGAGTGATGATGGGTGACCCAGGATCTGCTAAGAGCAGAGGAGAAAACTCCCAGCCCCAGGCCTGTGTCTGCTGGGGCATTTTCACCGTTCCAGTTAAGCGGCCTCCGAAATCGACCTCAAGGCGATGACGGTTCAGGCACTTTTAAAGGGACGTCGTCACCGTCATCTCAACCGAGGCGTGAGTGCCCAGTGTCTTAAAGACACGGACGGCGACCTCATCCCTCAGAACAGTGCTCCAGCGTTGAGGCTGCTGAGTTTCAAGGTATGCGGCGCTTGCGGGACATTTGAAACCTGTCAGGTTTGATATCTCTGCCTTAAATGGACAGCTCATCACCCACAGCAGCGTTGGCAAAGATGGAGAAAAGAGAACATATGCATACTGTTGGTGGAAACAAAAATTCATACAGCTGTTATGGAAAATAGTATATAGTTCCTTAAAAGATACAATCTCATTTTCCTATTAAAAATTTTAATTATGAAAACTACCATATGATCTAGCAATCCTATTTCTGGGTATATATGAAAAGGAAACAGACTGGTTTCTCACAAACATATCTGCGTTCCCGTATTGCAGCATTAATCACAGTAGCCAAGGTTTGGAAACTATGAAAATGTCCTTCAATTGGATGGATGAAGAAAATGTGATAAATGAAATATTATTCAGCCATAAAAATGAAGGGAATCGTTGCATTTGTGATGACCTAGATGGCCCTAGAGGACATTATTTTAAGCCAGGCACAAGAAGACAGATAGCACATGACCTCACTCATATGTGGAATCTTAAAAAGTTCAATGCATAGAAGCAGAGTAGAATGCTGGTTACCTGTGGACCAGGGAGAGGGGTTGGAGACACGTTGGTAAAATACACGGCTGGGCACGTGCTCATGCCTGTAATCCTAACACTCTGGGAGGTCGAGGCCGGAGGGTCACTCAAGGTCAGGATTTTGAAAACAACCTGAGCAAGAGCGAGACCCCGTTTCTACTAAAAATAGAAAGAAATGAATTGGCCAACTAAAAATATATAGAAAAAATTAGCCACGCATGGTAATGCATGCCCCTAGTCCCGAGTACTTGGTAGTCAGAGGGAGGATTGCTTCAGACCAGGAGTTTGAGGTTGCTGTGAGCTAGCCTAATGCCACAGCACTCTAGCCCAGGCAACAGAGTGAGACTCTGTCTCCTGCCCCCCTCCCAAAAAACAAAACAAAACAGAAAAACACTACAAATAAATTCCATATTACAACATTGGATTATTTTCTATAATCAAACTTTTGCTGTAGTAATGTCTGGCAGTGTAAGTGCTTAGTGCTTTTTTTTTTTTTTGAGACAGAATCTCGCTTTGTTGCCCAGGCTAGAGTGAGTGCCATGGAGTCAGCCTAGCTCACAGCAACCTCAAACTCCTGGGCTCAAGCAATCCTGCTGCCTCAGCCTCCCAAGTAGCTGGGACTACAGGCATGTGCCACCATGCGTGGCTAATTTTTTCTATATATATTAGTTGCCAATTAATTTCTTTCTATTTATAGTAAAGACAGGGTCTCGCTCTTGCTCAGGCTGGTTTCGAACTCCTGACCTCAAGCTATCCGCCCGCCTCGGCCTCCCAGAGTGCTAGGATTACAGGCATGATTCACCACACCCGGCCTATGCCTAGTGCTTTCTATTATGAATCCTCTTATTTTTAGTTAGACTTGACTATAATTTTTTTTCCATTAACTGCATCTATAAAATATCTTCTTCTATGAACTCTGATGTTTTCCAAGGTACATTTTTTTAACAAATGTTTTTCTGCATTGATTGCACTTGTAGTGTTTTTCTACAATCTCAATTTTCTGAAGTTGAATAAGGTTTGGGAAACTGCTGGAGGGTCACCTGCCAGTGTGAATTATCCTGTGTACAGTAAGGTCTGTGATATAAGTAAAGGTGTTATAGAGTACTCTTCATAGCTGTAATAGGTTTTATTCTGTATAAACACTCTGGTGCACTCTAAGAATTTTATTTTGTGAAAGGTAACAGGCATTACATTTATACTCCTTTTATCTGATGCCAACAAATATATAAGGAGATACTAAAGAAATTTCCACATTCTTTACCTTACTAGGATTTCTCTCATGTATGAATTCTCTCATGTACAGTCAGGTAAGAGCACTAGGTAAAGGCTTTGCCACATTCTTCATATTTCTAGGGTTTCTCTCCAGTATGTATCATCTTATGTCTATAAAAGCCTGAGGAATATTTAAAAGCTTTGCCACATTCTTCACATATATAGGGTTTCTCTCCAGAATGCACTTTCTTATGGTCCCTAAGGTATGAAGGATGTTTAAAGGTTTTGCCACACTCTTTACACTTGTAGGGTTTCTCTTCAGTATGAGTTATCTTATGTCCACAAAAGCTTGACCAATATTGGAAGGCTTTGCCACATTCTTCACATTTGTAGGGTTTCTCTCCAGTATGAATTAACTTATGTTTACAAAAGCCTGACCAATATTTAAAGACTTTGCCACATTCTTTACATTTGTAGGGCGTCTCCCCAGTATGCACTCTCTGATGTTCACTGAGGCTGCGGTGCCAGTGAAAGGCTTTGCCACATTTTTCACATTTGTAGGGTTTCTCTCCAGTATGAATTATCCTATGTTTAGAAAAGCTTGACCAATATTTAAAGGCTTTGCCACATTCTTCACACTTGTAGGGTTGCTCTCCAGTATGCATTCTCTGATGTTCACTGAGGTGTGAGTGCTGGTTAAAGGCTTTGCCACATTCTTCACATTTGTAGGGTGTCTCTCCAGTATGAATTATCCTATGTTTAGAAAAGCTTGTCCGATATTTAAAGGCTTTGCCACATTCTTCACATTTGTAGGGTTTCTCTCCAGTATGCATTCTCTGATGTTCACTGAGGTGTGAGTGGTAGTGGAAGGCTTTGCCACATTCTTCACATTTGTAGGGTGTCTCTTCAGTATGAATTATCCTATGTGTAGAAAAGCTTGACCGATATTTAAAGGCTTTGCCACATTCTTCACATTTGTAGGGTTTCTCTCCAGTATGCATTCTCTGATGTTCACTGAGGTGAAAGTAGTAGTGAAAGGCTTTGCCACATTCTTCACATTTGTAGGGTTTCTCTCCAGTATGAATTATTTTATGCGTAGTAAGATTTGAGAACTGATTAAAGGCTTTGCCACATTCTTCACATATGTAGGGTTTCTCTCCAGTATGAATCATCCTATGTTTAGAAAAGCTTGACCAATATTTAAAGGCTTTGCCACATTCTCCACATTTGTAGGGTTTGTCTCCAGTATGCATTCTCTTATGTCTATAAAAGTTTGACCAATATTTGAAGACTTTGCCACATTCTTTACATTTGTGTGGTATCTCTCCAGTTGAGCTAAATTTAAAGACTTTGTCACATTCATCACGTTCATAGGGTTCCTCTCCAGAATGAATTATCTTATGATTAGACAAGCTTGAGAAAGATTTAAACACTTTGTCACATTCTTTACATTTGTAATATTTCTTTCCAGTATAAATTATTTCATGTTCAGTAAAGTGTGAGCATTGGTTAAAGGCTTTTCCACATTCCTTACATTTGAAAGGTTTTTCTACAGTATGTCTTATCTTATGTTTATTTAGATTTGACAATTTTCTAAAGACTTTCAAACATTTATTACATTGGAACATTTTGCAATGCGTACTTGCTGAATTTTGGTTAAATCCGTTATAACATCTTTTGTACCTTTGACACTCATCCACACTTTTCCAGTCTTTCCTTACGTTTAAATTCTCAAGGCCACAGCTTCCATAAGTTCCCAGTATCACTTTTTGAAATGAATCTCTTATGCCCTGCTCTGGCAAATAGTCTTGAATGTATTGAGAAGACGTAGCTGAAAGAAATAAAAATAACAAATTATCCCACTTACTTTTCTTCAGATTTGGGTGAATATACATTACAAATCTAATATATAAAACTATACCAAGTACATTAGCAAGATGGCATAATAAAATACCATCAGCCCTAATTCCTTCATAATAAAATATACTGACCAAATTGCTTTTGTGAGACTTCTACAAACCAGGTAAATATTTGCAGCACCCTGAGAGATCACAATGCCAAAAGACACATTGATTAGGAAGAAAAGTTTGTTACATTCACACACTACACTGCCTTTCCACCTCCTTAATACAGCAAGGTGCATACAGCATTAAACCACAAACATGTGGCTTCTCCCAAAACATAGAAAGAAAGTTGTGGCATATGTGCCCATATTCCAGCTATAGGGAACCTTTCAAAACACTAGTTTGCCACATTCTATGATAAGGATAACCCTTGAAAATATTGTGTTAACTGAAACAACTCAATAACAGTGACAGTGTATGGTTCTACTTATATCTCAGGTAGTCAAACTTACAGAAAGTTCAATGGAGTTTGTCAAGGCCTGGAGAAAGGGTACAATCGGCAGTTGTTACTTGACATGTTTTGAGTTTTAGTTTTGCAAGATGTAAATGTTCTAGAGGTCTTTTACGTAACAATGTAAATATGGTTTTAACACTACTGGAATGTACACTTAAAAAGACTGAAGATGGTAAATCATTATATGTTTTCAACACAATTAAAATTTTTAAAAAATTACTAAAATATTATAAAGCTTTTTAATAATTACCTTCAAGTCAGAAAAGTGATTCTCTCACATGAAGAAATACAGATTTATCAATAAACACATAGTAAAATTAAGTTGTATTCATGACTACCCACTGAGGCGAATCAAGACTACCCACTGAGGCGAATCAAACAATTTAAAATCAGTCAGCAGGTGGGGCACGGTCCCGTAATCCTAACACTCTAGGAGGACGAGGTGCCACCATGCCTGGCTAATTTTTTCTATATATTTTTAATTGTCTAGCTAATTTCTTTCTATTTTTAGTCTTGCTCTTGCTCAGGCTGGTCTCAAACTCCTGAGCTCCAACAATCCTCCTGCCTCATACTCCCAGAGTACTAGGATTACAGGCCTGTGTCCATTATCAATGCTTCTATTTTATCATACTACTGAAGTCCTAGGCAGAAATACTAGTGAAGTAATTTTTCAAAAAACCATCCAAATAGAAAAGAAAGTAGAAATGTTACGGTTTGTAGATAATATGATCTTATATCTGGAAAACCCTTAATAATACAACAAAAAAACATTTTAAAATTCACTCAGTAAATTAGCAGAATGTTAAATTAACATACAATTATCAGTTGGGTTTCCATATACTAAAAACAAACTATCCAATAAAAAACAAGAAAACAATTTTATTTATAGTAGCATCAAAATAATACATTTTTAGCAGTAAATTGTACCAAGGAGGTGAAGGAGGTTTACATGGAAAAATATATGGTACTGATAAAAGAAATTGAAGATGATACAAATAAATATAAAGACTTCCCATGTTTATGAATTGGAAATAAAATATAAATCTATATGGCCGGCGGTGGTGGTCCACGCCTGTAATCCTAGCTCTCTGGGAGGCTGCAGGCGGGATTGCTCGAGGTCAGGAGTTCGAAACCAGCCTGAGCAAAAGTGAGACCCCGTCTCTACATAAATAGAAAGAAATTAATGGCCAACTAATTATATTATAGGAAAAAATGAGCCGGGAATGGTGGCGCATGCCTGTTCCCAGCTACTTGGGAGGCTGAGGCAGAAGGATTGCTTGAGCCCAGTAGTTTGAGGTTGCTGTGAACTAGGCTAACGCCACGGCACTCACTCTAGCCTAGGCAACAAAGCGAGACTCTGTCTCAAAAAAAAAAAAAAAAAAGTTTATATGATCCAAAATAATATACAGATTCAATAAACTGCTTATCAAAATTGCAATGGCAGTTTTTTCACAGTAATAAAAAACACAATTCTAAACTACAATAGACTTTCTCTTTTCTTTTGAGACAGAGTCTCACTTTGTTGCCCAGGCTAGAGTGAGTACTGTGGCATCAGCCTAGCTCACAGCAACCTCAAACTCCTGGGCTCAAGCAATCCTGCTGCCTGAGCCTCCCGAGTAGCTGAGACTACGAACATGTGCCACCATGCCCAGCCAATTTTTTTCTATATATATTAGATGGCCAATTAACTTCTTTCTATTTACAGTAGGGACCGGGTCTCGCTCTTACTCAGGCTGGTTTCGAACTCCTGATCTCCAGCAATGCGCCCGCCTCAGCCTCCCAGAGTGCAATAGACTTTCAATAACCAAAGTAATCTTGAGGAAGAAGAACAAAGCTGGGGCATCATACTTTCTGATTTCAAACTTTTCTGTTTTTTTTTGGTAGAGACGGGGTCTTGCTCTTGCTCAGGCTGGTCTCGAACTCCTGAGCTCAAACAATCCTCCTGCCTCTGCCTCCCAGAGTGTAGGTTACAGGCATGAGCCACCACGCCCACTAGTCTAACTTTTTCGATTTGCTGTGTAAGTGACATCATGCAGTACTTGTCCTTCTGTGCCCAGCTTATTTCAGGTAGCATAATGTCCTTCAGGTCAATCTATGTTGTTGAAATGACTGAATAATATTTTTATAGCTGAGTAAAATTCTATTTTGTATATATACCACATTTTCTTTATGCAGCACATACAAACATTTAGGTTGTATTCGTATCCTGGCAATTTTGAATAATGTTGCAGTGAACACAGGGGTGCAGAGTATTTCTCCAAAATACTGATTTTCTTTCCTTTCGTTATATACACAGAGGTGGGATTATTGCATTGTGTCATAGTTCTACTTTTTTAGTTCTTTTTAAATAATTTCAATATTTGCTTTCATAATAAATGAACCAATACAACTCACCAGCAGTGTACAGGATTTCTTTTTTTTCACATCCTTGTCAAAATTTGTTATCTCTTCTTTTTGATATTAGATTCCCAACAGTTATGACGTGATACTGCAACATGGTTTTGATTTGTAATTGACTCATGATTGGTGATTTTTTATGTCTTCATTTGGAAAATATCTTTTTAGTCTTTTGGCTATTTGTTATTGGGCTATTGTTTTTGCCTTTAAGATATGTGAGTTTTGGCGGGCACGGTGGCTCACGCCTGTAATCCTAGAACTCTGGGAGGACGAGGTGGGGGATTGACTGAGGTCAGGAGTTCGAAACCACCCTGAGCAGGAATGAGACCGCGTCTCTACTATCAATAGAAAGAAATTAATTGGCCAACTAATATATATAGAAAAAATTAGGGCTTGGTGGCGCACGCCTGTAGTCCCAGCTACTTGGGAGGCTGAGGCAGCAAGGATTGCTTGAGCCCAGGAGTTTGAGGTTTCTTTGAGCTAGGCTGACGCCATGGCACTCACTTTAGTCTGGGCAACAAAGCGAGATCCTGTCTCAAAAAAAAGAGTTTTTAAAATAGATTTTGAATATAAACCTCCTGTCATATATATTGTTGCATGTTTTCTTCCATCCTGCAAGTTTTGTTTCTTTCTGTACAAAGGCTTTTTAATTGTGCAGTCTAACTTACTTATATTGTGCTTTTGGTTGTTATATGTTTGGTGTTATATCCAAAAAAATCCATTGTCGAGATCAATATCAAGTAGGTTTTTCATATGTTTTCTTTATAATTTTGAGGATTTGTGTCATACATAAGTTCTTATTTCATTTAGAGTTAATTGTTGGGTATGGTGTAAGAAAAATGGTCTAATTTTATTCTTTTATTATGGGTATCC